CATCCAGCTGACGAATCCCGAATAGGACGAAACACGCATCCTGGATTCCACTACTAGCCACTATTCATCTTTGCTTAAAAAGCTTGTGGCATGAGGCTATATCGAGGCAATCCGCACGGTATGCACATATGCCAACAAGAGACTGATCAATTGCAGTCCTAAATAACAATGGGAAGATACAAGTAAAACAAAATCTAGTGAATTATAATCCAACTGTTTTAAACATACAAAAATTAAAACATTAATATTAAAAAAGAGGTTGTCGTTATAGGACGTGGTAATATTTAAGACAGACTGTATTTAGTTGAAATGAAGATTATTGATGCGTGAATGGATCAAGAACACATTGAATTGTTAATATCTACATAAGTTACAATATGCCTAACTTTATATCACTTCAGCGAAAAATTAAATTCAAACTAAAAGTACAAACATCACCGAATGATAGAGAAAGGTAGATATTATCGAAAAAAATCTTACACTATAATGTAAGTAGAAATACATTTTTCTGTCTTAAACGAGTATGTAATATAAGCACTATATATCGAAATCCTACATAAATTAATGTAACACGACATTGAAAAGATGAAATCAAATGAAAGATTGAAGTAGAGATACAGTATTTAGTTACTGATTCTTATGATAAGTCGATAAAGTAAGAACACTTTCTTGGAATAGATGAATTATAACCAGAAATAGGATATGGAATGCACATTTCATCAGATGCACACTATAATAAACTAAGTATGTTTACTAATTAAAATAGCATAAATGTGATAATTTTTGTATATTGAATAGTTTAGGTTGAATGTTTTTAGAATAACTTCAACCCTTAAAAGAAAATAATATTAAATAAATGAGTATTTATAATTGAAATCTATATTTTAACTTTACCACACCTTTTTCATTTATTATAAATGATCAGATCATATGTCATCTTTTTGTTACATAAATTACTTCATTATATATACTATCATGTGTTCAAGAAAATTAGAGGTATTTGTAATGATTTATCAAGTTACAGAGACAATTTACAAAAACATACCGAAAAATACCAATTTCTTTCTGTTTTTTTTTTATAAAATTTGATGATTTTTGAAACTTAAGATTTTAAAATAAATACTGTCACATAGCTTTAGTTTTTAAAACCATGAATAACAGTAATGCCAATAATATCAACAGTTCACACGGGAAATTTCATCAGTAAACCGCAAGTTTGGAGAATGTGGTAATGGTTTCATGGTTAAAATACTCGGATTTTAACCATAAAATCACAGATTCATAATTCATACCGTCTACTTCATCAAACTTTATATAAAACATTGTGCCTAAAAGCCTTGTATGTAAGCATAGAGATGGTAAATGAGAAACATTGGTTTGATCGATAATTTATCTTCATCTTTCAATAAGATCGTATTTAAAATTCTCAGCTAAATCACTGTCGTCAAAAATTAGGTGAATAAGTGTGATTGGTCATGTTAGAATTCCGACAAAGAAAAGTCCAATACCTTTGCTGTGTGACATATCTCAATATTTCAGTGCAATATATATATATATATATATATATATATATATATATATCATCCTGGATCACTGAATTCTTTTGGTTATCCAATATGGAAATGTACATATATATATGAATCGTTGACAAATATTGTACTTAATCGACTCAGTGGTTTTAATGAAGCTTACTACGCTATGGAAGATTTCAATCATAAAGTAACATCATTTAAATAGCTATTTTAAACCAGAAAAAATAGTTTAATATTTCACCGGTTGAAATCATGAATCCATTGAAGCTAGACCACCATGATAAACCTGTAAGCTCAGTGGTCTAGTTGGTTAAGCGCCTGGCGCGAGACTAATAGGTCCTGGGTTCGAATCTCGCGAGGAGCGGGATCGTGGATGCGCACTGCTGAGGAGTTTAACATTTATCAAGATTCTATTCTAAGGAAATATATTGCCCTTAACGCAGTAAAGATCCAACAGTTTTCCACACACCGTGTCCCCGAAAACATTTTATGTATAAGAAATCTATCGTACATATATTTCTATACTATTGAAATTGTTTAAATAGTCATATTAATGAAGTCTGATATGATACTAAGTGTTGGAATCGGTGTTTAGATAAATCAACATATCAAGTACAACATGAATGAATCTACGACCGTATGTGCAGAAATTGATTTACTTTTCATCATAGTTCAATGGAAGAACAAACTTAGATTCATCTGTACACTTAGCAAAACGTGTTCAAGATTACCTTCAACTCTAATGCGTCATAGTAAGTAGTAATGAAAAGTAACTACACTTCTAGGTTGTTTTTTCACTGAAGTTGAATTATTTTTGGACTAATTAGTATTTCACTGGTTGAAATCATGAATCCATTGAAGCTAGACCACCATGGAAAACCTGGAAGCACTGGACGGCCGTTTCGTCCTAGTATGGGACTCCTCAGCAGTGCGCATCCACGATCCCGCTCCTCGCGAGATTCGAACCCAGGACCTATCAGTCTCGCGCCAGGCGCTTAACCAACTAGACCACTGAGCCGGCATCCAACGGTGTTAATGTCTAACTTCAACCAATCCACGAAGTTGCGCCACCGTACACCATTGTCTTCAGTGAGCTGATATCTCACAACAGACCTGGTTGAACTCCACTGGTAACGGCTTCTCACTAGAACTTCAGGAGTATCTATTTTGAAGTCAGTCATTAGTGAGTAGATGATTATTATTATCAGAAGGGATTGTGTGGAGATTTTAGAAATTTCACTGGTTGAAATCATGAATCCATTGAAGCTAGACCACCATGGAAAACCTGATAGGTCCTGGGTTCGAATCTCGCGAGGAGCGGGTCGTGGATGCGCACTGCTGAGGAGTCCCATACTAGGACGAAACGGCCGTCCAGTGCTTCCAGGTTTTCCATGGTGGTCTAGCTTCAATGGATTCATGATTTCAACCAGTGAAATTTCTAAAATCTCCACACAATCCCTTCTGATAATTAGTATTTGTCCAATATCTACGATTTATTAATTCATCTAAACCGAAATATAGAGAATGAATAAGTTAAATTAATTAAAAGTAATTTATGTTGAGATGGTGAACTAATTACATCTATTCACATACATACATACACCCAAAATTGTGATTACACTCTTAATGAGATTTGATCGAACTTCAACTGAATGATTGATTATTTGGATGTCCCTTTATATATACTATAATTATGAAGATGAAGATCAATAACTAGTCATCACATTAGTAATCGATTCAGTAACATTGATAACACTAAACCACATCTATTTTATTTTGACAAGAATTTAAAATATTATTCAAGACCGATTGAAGTTAGACATGTAAACTATTGAATGCCGACTTAACTATCTAAAGGTTAAGAGTTTACTGCGGGTTTACCAGGTTCGATCGCTGACTGGATTAAGAATGTGCACTATCGAAGTATCATGCTGGGACGAAACAGTTGTCCAATGGTTTCTAGTTTTGAGTGGTTGTCAAATTAAGATTAATATGTGATGTAAACTGTGAAAGGAAAAATAATTACAACTGCAATTTTTTTCTAATAAAGACGACTGGATTATATTGTTATTTATGATTTAATATCTATAGACTTACAATTCGGTAATATGAGCTTGACAATTAAGAAAATGACTTTAAAATGCGAATTCTTATATAAATAGTGAAGATAATGATGGTGTATTTTTTAAAAATCATTTTAACTTTGCGATATGGCATATACGGGTTGTAACAATATACATCATATTGTCAGTTCTATTTTGAAAATTACACACTAGAATTTTACTTAAACGTTAATCAAACTCAATAATACTATCTGATAAAATGACTTATACGTATAGATCACTATATTATCAATAGACCAAAGCACATACTTACAAGTGTTTTAATAATAACTTAAGTTATACTTAACGCTCATTGAAATACTTCACACCAAGGAATCTAATCTGATTTCGAATGTATTGTATCTTGGATAAGAAAAGAACTGTAAGGAAAGACAGATAGTGGCTAGCAGTGGAATCTATGACACGCGCTTCGTCCTATTTGGGACCCATCGGTTGGATGCATCTCCAAGAATCGAATCCATTACCTTGTGGTTTAAACTCCAATGCGTTATCCACTGAACAACTGAACCCAGATAGCCACCAGCTGACGCAACAGGAGATGAGGCGCTAGCCACTATTCATCGACTTAAAATACTTGTGACTTAAAGGCAGTATCAAGCCAATTCGATTAGGGTACACACATGTCAGGAAAGACTGGTCAAAATTTAGTCTTTAATATCAAAAATGGGGAGATTCAAGAAATCATAAATCAAATAAGAAAAGAATTTGTTAAAATATAGTAGATTGTTAACAAAACGATTATTATACGTAATTAAACATTTGATCTATCCTTATTACCTGTCTTCGTAAGAGCTGTATTTTATTTCTTTACAAAATGTTTAGAAGCAGTCACAAAGAAATCAGTAAACCAATATATTTTATATCTTCTTGTACAATTACAGGAAACCAATATTTAAGATGTTAAAGTTAACGCTTTAACGTTAAAAAGAATGTTTGTACAGAAAAAAAATTAGTTGAAAGTAAAGATTATCGTTTATCAGTGAAAAGAAATTACAGTCTCATTCATGCGACTTATCCGATTTTGTAGATAGAGTAAGCAGTTATGGCTGAAAGAGATCAACGTCAATGTTTTTAATGCCTTGTTTGAATAATACATCATGCAGAAGTTTCTGAAACTATCGAACTTAAGGTTCCTAAATATTTACACTTTATGTTGATATACTATTGTAACATCAAATTCAAACATAAAAAAGCATATTTCAAATAGTAAAATCAAGTGAAATTTAATCTATACGTTAACCGTCAAGCACTAAATATAAAGTATCTATCTGTGAATAATCTATAAATACTTACACTTTACAAAGTCAATATGTATATTCAGATTAATTTATATTGGATTACATACCTTGGAGTTTTGACTATAGGTGTAGCTGTAAAAACTTCTGATCCATCTGGATTAATTTCTTTTTTAGGCATCCATTGATCGCTTCCTTCATTTCGTATGATTATTTCCGATGGAATTATTGGATATCGTTTTTTACGTCTTTCTAAGATAACTGGATCTTAAAGAGGAAGAGAAAAAGGAAAAGAAGTGAAAAGTCATTAAAATTCAATTCATAAAAAATATTCCTACTTGTTTTTATATTCGATTTGGATATTCTTGATAATTGATCTGTTTGATTTTTACCAAAAACACCATTACCTTGTTCTAAAATTAATTCCTCATTTTTATATTCATTCTCACACTGATTATTGTCAATTCTATCAAAATGATTAAAATTACAATTTGATTGATTTGATGCTTTCCATATTTGTAATTCTTGTAATATATCTGATATTTTAATTAATCCATCTTTATCTGTATCAAGTTCATTGAACAATGTTAATGATAATTCACTAGATATATTAATTGTTGAATTAGAGCATAATGTTATCCATTCTGTTTTGTTTAAATCACCGGAATTTTCAAAATCATAACTTTGTAAGAATTTCTTTAAATTATCAATTGACATATTATTGATTTATTCTTTTTGATAGATAATATTATATCATTTCTTTAATCATAATATTCTATATCAAAAGTATATTTTACTCTATAAAAATAATAATAATCCAAAAACTTTAGGACAAATTATAAGAAGTTCTGTTATAAACTAATCAAATAAATAGATTCTTCAATTTCACTAGATTGATAAAATTGTATAACAACTCAATTCTCTACAAAATAAATTTATCTAATTTTTTCTTACCAGTCTCATTGTCTTTTTACATACTTTTATTAGTCACATTATTATGTGTGCATTTTATGTAATAAAAATAATCATAATTCTGCACAAAGTGAAGGTCATCTACTCAATTCACCATACAAACAAGTTTCAACTTTAATTTGATTGGTTAATTACTTATATAGATATTACATTGTATTAGTAGACTTAATTTGATAATATATTAACTTTGACAAACAGTAAAATAGAAAAAGCCAAAAATCACTTTTGTTAAATTCAAATTGAAGATAAATGAATAAAATTTATACAATTAGTGAAACAACTTATTTTAAGAAATATTAATCTGTTATAAATTGTGACTTTTAAATAATAAACACTAGTGATAATCATTACTAAAGTATTGAAAAAAAAAGAAAATTTCAACCATAATATAAACTAGTAATAAACATTTTGAAACTAGATATAAGAGTAAAAGACAATACATGTTACATAATATCAAAAAAAAGACATTTCACCAATAAAATCATCCGAAGATATTAAAATGTTGTAACAAACATGTCGATAAATTCAAGTCTCCATTTTTAAATAAAACTCAAACTAGTATCTTTTCTTAAAAAGATCCAAACGAAACAGTGATACTATTATCGTCATCATCATCTTCAAAAATTAAGTATTTCTATTCCTAAAGAAGATTACTTGTTCATGAATGGATAATAGAAACGCCTAAGAAATTGCTTAGCACAGTAAGTGGGTTATACGTTGAAGAAAAGATATATTGGAGAAATACGTTCTCCTGCTGTAATCATCCACTAACGAGACTTGGAATTAAAAAACAACAGTAGTAATCACCTTAAAAATCGTCTTCATATACCTTACAGTTATTACTTTCTATTCATTGTCCATTTAATTCACACAGAGAACAGTTTAACTATAGTAGTTGACATCTGTTCGACATTACAACCAGAGATCAACAATTCTCCACCGATATTTTAGGAGACTATAGTAGCCGGTCATTGACCATAATTAATAGTGTATCTTATTTCATTGTAATGAATTCCTTGGTACTACGAAGAATAGATAATATGTCTCATTGTGCTCCTAATTTATTTATCATCTGTTAGAAAACGCTTTCCTTATGAGTATACTACTATATTACAAACATGAACATTCTAATTATACGTAATAATAACTGTTATGAAAAAACGAGATTTATATCTTATCTTCATCGAAGTTAGCCAGATGAAAAGTGTATCTCAATATTAATTGATCGCTCCATAGAAAAGTAAACTTTAAATCCAAAAATGTTGAAAGGTTAACTCTAAATTTCCATGAGCACTGTGGAGTGTAATTGCAGTGGTGATGTCTAATCATTTGTACATGAAGTCTAGTTACTAGTAGATGTTCATCTATTCAGTCGGTTAGAGTAAGTTTAGGCATCAAAAGGCAAGTCCCAACTTGAAATCCTCAAGGCAAAAGGAAGAAAGGTAGACTGAAGAACATATGGTGCCAAAAACTGGAGGCAGTCATCTAAAGAATGGATGGTGCCTAGCAACAACTCGAAGGGAAAACCCAGTATAGAGGCAGTTGAGGATTCCTGATTGATGTCCTATGCTCCATGACAGGAAGCAGACTAAGCTAAATAAGGTTCAGTCCTAATGGTAACTAAGATAACCACTTCGCAAAAAGTGGCTTATTCACTTTTAAGTCAAGCTGCTCCAAACTATCGTCAGTAGAGAAGTTAAACATTGGAGAGTATGAAATTTAGTGAAATTATTGGTCATTCGGTACTCCTCACTCATCCTTCATAACAATAACACTAGGTTTATATTCGAAAATAAATAGGTCTGTATTCGCACATCGATCTTAAATACCATTTTCATATATTTGGTTTATTGAATTGTACTTTTTTGTATTTCCCGGAAACTATAGTGAGTATTAATAGGTAATCTATCAATATCTTTGTTTCGGTACAAATTTATCCACTTAGTGAATGCATTGCAAAACTCAAATATGTCTTAATTCCCATTATATATGTTGGAGTATTCATCACATAATGTAGTAAAGCTCTAAGTGAGATGGTTAGTGGCCTTCAACAGTAAACACTCAGTTACCACAACGTAAAATACATGACGTCCTAAGTGATTTTTTTTTAGAATATCTTAATTATCAGTGCAACCAACCATCAAACAACATTCATAATATTAATGTAGTCTCGTGTGCATAAATAGTATACAACTAACTTGACCATAACTGACCACTTTAAAAAACCTACATTAATTATGTTTTCAGAAATAGAAATTAGCATGAGATCATGTGGACGACCTTTTATAGGGTAAATGAGAAAAACCAGTGGTTGTTGATTGTATTTCCTATAATTTTCTTTAAAAATGTGCGAAGCGATATGAGGTTATCAAGCAACCATGTCTTATTTATTGATGACAAGACATCAACAAGGTTGTTTTTGACCTCTAATGAGACTCTTCAAGTGAGATCAGCATCTTAGATACTTATTCCCTTTATTCTCTATAAAAATTCTAGCGTTTTATTTGATATTAGTTAAATTTACCATAGTACGATGTAGCTTTCTTATTATACTCACTGATTGTATTAGAAATATTCCTAAATTTAAGCTGTTTTTTCTAGTCGATGGCAACTTATTATGATGTCTATTCTAGAACCAAAATAATTAAAATTACTGACAAGATTACTCATACACCTTACTGACAAATGACGATAGATGCAAAATCCAAACCCTGAAAGTAAGCACACAAACAATTAAACAAGTTAGTGGCCATCTGGAGTTAGCAGCGAAGTGAATAATGCGTTGGGGTTGAAAGTGAAATGTGTTGGATTCAAGTTACAGTATGAACATTAACAAGGAGATGTACGCACTTCCGGTTTACAAGTCCCAAATAGAAGGAAGTGAGCGTCCTAGACTCCACTGCTAGTAACAATCCATCTATTAAGTGAAACGTTATGATTATTTAAGTACTTGTATCACCAAATGAACGTGTAGTTCCGATTGTTTACAGAACATTGTTCAAGTAATCTCCGGGAAAAAATCACTTGAGATATTTAGCACTTCCGCCCTCACTGTTACCAAGAGCTCGCTTTATTGAGTAGGTCAACAGATAAATTCAAGGAGAACTAACATATTTCTCTTCACAAGTAGACAACTAACCGGTAGCTAATTTTTATACATCATTATAACTTTTAGTGGAGCAAAAAAGGCAGTTCCTACCTCGACTAAGGTACTTTCGAATGATCGTTTCCAGTTTCTAACACAAAAATTCGAAATAAACATTCCACCAGATGAATTTATGATTGATTCTTGATTTCATACATCATTACTCTAGAAAAGCTCTTATGTTATCGACTAATTACCACAAAGTTTCTTTGTTACTTGTATCTAAGATCAGTTACTTCTTAATCTGACAAGGTATACATAGACTATCCGTCGATGATAGACTTTAATATCGTATTTCTTACCACAATTATATGTCAAGTGTTTAATAACATACATCAGTAATATGTATTAAGTTATCATCGGAAGGGTGGAACATTTGAGCATCATACATTTTAAAACACAATTCGTTACGAGATATGACAAAGAATAGGAATCGAGTTCGGCTTACCACTTCGTATCAGTTATTTTTTGAGACAGCTTACTGACTGGTCGTCGTCATAAGACACTAACTGTTCATTTGGTTTTTTCATTGGTGATTATCAATACAAGTATATAAATAATCAGAATAAAAATATTGGTGTTAAAATACTTTTTTTTAAAGTGATCATTTACTCAAGAGCAGGTTATAAAGTGATTAACTGATTCCTGTTATTTCTAATTAACAGAGCAGTACAACTACTTTTTAATTAGATAGAATGTGTTGAAACTATTATCAAAATCTAACAGTGACAAAGTAAACAGTAGTCAGTTATCTGAATGACCAAAGATGATTACTGAACTAATGTGGGAATGGACGGAACAAGCAACCATTACCAAAAGATGCTCATTATGTAGAGTTCAAAGAGGTGAGTAACTACATAACAGAATAACACAACCAGTAGTTTGATGCAGATTAATGTCACATTCTGATTATCAGTCGTGATGGAGACCTAAGTGTTGATATTAAAATAAACTCTGAACCGTTGGATTCAATTCTTTCAATGAAATACTCATGATTATTATCAGACAAACTTCAATGTGACAAATACACACAAGTTCGATCATCACTTTTAACCATGGCATGATATTATTAACCATGTAAGATCTGGGTGTACGTCAAGTCAGCTGCAACCTGAACGAATAGACTGTGGTGGCTAACGACAGAGGTTTCGATTACATAAGTAAAACTGTCCCATAAATTACGTACTTGCAGAGGAAATATAGAATCATGGTATCCAAAAACCTATATTGGTTCACAAACATTTAGTCTTAACGAAATAATACAAAGTACTCAATAAACCAATCACGAATAATGTGATATGGAGTTTAAATGAAACACTGAAAACAATAACTCCAAATTTTAGGAATGCTATTCGTCGCGGATAGAAAGTGCTAACAAATATTTTTGTTCAGACAAATGTAACAGGGAATACCCGATGAGTGGGTTTAACCAGCGGTTGGTCTATAAGTTGACAAAACACCATAAAAGTTAGGTTACATAAGAATAAGAATTTTAAAAGACCAATAACATAGTAATATACAAAGTAATACTTTCGTATCAGTAATATTACAACAGATGTTGCTGAACAAAAGTAAACAATACTAGAAAAATTACAAAATCAGATGAAGGTCATAATCTCGTAACATTACGCAACTGATATTACAAGCCATGAAAGAAAAACATAAAATAAAACTATTGGATACACAGATAGAGCAACACGATTTTTTGGCAATGTAGGATGGACAAAGATAAAGGATGCATAAGATGAATAAATCAACCCAGAAATAACAATGAATAATCGTATGATGAAAACAAACACAGAATTAGAACTTGCAAGCAACAGTAATCGACATATAACCAAACCAATAACAAGAGGTAAAATACAATACCCCAAAACGCATACGGTTTGTAGAAATGACCTTTGAAAAGAAAACAATAGGATGATTTTAATAAAGATATTTGTTTTTAAATACGAAGTTCATGTATTAGTCAGAAAATGAGCTACATCAGACTGAGTATATTTTTTAGTCATCCTACATCGGCAGTAGTAAAGTTAAAGCTACGTTTTTAATACAGAAGTTTATGTTATCTAGAATCCGTATTATCCCTAGAAAATATCCTTTAACAAGGTCTACGCATTCACTTGGGGAAGAAATGATATTTTTGATTATTTATATCCTTTTAAGGGAGGAATAGTAATGAAGCGTTTTGAAACGTTCTGATTATTCGTAACCAACACCGAGATAATTACTGATCGTTCAATTAAACGACAGATTAGTTTTTTTTAACAGGTAATCCTTTTTGTTTATTGGTCGGTCACCATACACACAACTTCCGGAAGTAAACAATGTAAAAAGAAGTACTGATTAATCCAGTCTACCGCTTAAGTGAGTATTTTTCGGTTAAAGGAGAAAAGAAAGAAATTCTTTACTCAATAAAAACCAAAGGAAAAGCAAACAGTGGCATAGTAGTTATGGAGCTTGACATCCGGCTATTAGACTATGGGTTTTTAATTTCACCATCTGTTTCATTTTGAGAAACCTGGTAGTATCACTGGTCACTATACCAAAAATACGACTCAAAGTTGAGTATGTTAACTCATCGCCCCCAAACGCCCTGGTACGGCCGAGAGTGGGGAGAGTTCACTCTCCCTCTCGAAATGCTCTCACATGGCCACGCGTATATAGCCTCTGCCAGGGAAGTCCTACTCACTGCCTTCTCGTGGCGGGGGTGTTGTTTACGAAAATGAGAGCATGAAAAGCGAATGTCCGGCGCTTTAACCAGATCCCAAACCAATGGTGCACATGGG